CTGCATCTCATCTTTCAACCCTGTTGTAATATGACAATAAATGTAAAATGTCAGAAAAGTGTTAAAAACGACGATCAGTATTTCCCAAAGCCCTAGAAGATGTCCTCAAATTTCTTGTTTTGTCCACAACCCAAAGATATTCACTTTACTGTGATAGTGGAGTAAAGAAACCAGAAAATATTCACATTTAAGTAGCTGGAATCAAATAATTTATCTTAAAAAATGACTCAAATCAATGAATCAAAAATAGTTTACAATTAGTTTAGTTTAATAGTTGACAACTAATTGACTATTCGATTAATCGTTACACCTCTACTCAATGTGTTGAAACGGTTTTACAAAGGGTTCCTGTTTTGTTTTTGTCCTGCCGTTGATTTTAAACTGACAGTAACATGTCGCGAAGCGCAGCCATGCACCAACAAAAGCATTGATGAAACATGAACGCTATTTTAAAGATCTTCTTTGCAAATGTTTCTTTGAAGAAGGAGATGCACTCGACGCATTTGTTAGACCTCGAGGATACACAATGCATTTTTCTGAGAAAACTCCACAGGGCAGCTTTAACTGAACATGTTTGGGGTTTGGACTATTGCTCATACAAAACATTTGAAGACAACTTGACCTCTGGGAAATTATAATGTAATTTTTTCTATTTTACTCTGTAAGCACAAGATTGTTACTTTTTTTTAAAAATCTTTCACAAAACAAGCCATTGCTTAAGAAGAGAAAATAATTAATCGGTAATGAAAATGATACTCTCAGCCCTATAGATGTATATTTTTTTTTTAGGACTAACACTTTTAAGACTTCAATTAAATGTTAAATAAGTATCAATACAAGCTCCATTTACCGTGTTATAAAGACTTAGTATTATATGATATACCACTGTGCCATTCCTCTGCAACTTCTTTTTTATTTGCTTTAGGAGAGTTCGAGTTTCTACCACTACCTGTTCCTAAACTTTCTTTTGTCTCCATTAACTCTGCCACATCTCCTCAAAAAATCACAGGAAGCTTCCTCATTTTCTCCTCTCCCTCTTCCTCACTCCTCCCCTCAGTTCAGTGCAGGTGGTCAGTCTCCACCGGGTGCCAGTCTGCTACCTAATGCTGAGTTGATTAGGCTTGCTGAATAGCTCGTTTGGCCGTTACAAAAACCAAGAAGTCAGAGTAAATCGTCAAGAGGGCAGTTGATGGTAATGACCGAGCCATCAATGATTGAGTCCATTCATGGCTGAAGTGGCTGGAGTGGGGGCTTTGCAGTCACTGCCTTTAGTCAGCCAGTCACTTTCGCCGGCACACGGGGCACAGTGTGCATTGCTCTCATTACCGTCCATTGTCTGGCCCCTTTCAAAGGGCTGTAAGAAAAGTGGGAGAGAGAGGAAAGGAAGGAAAAAGGTAGAGATTAAATAATGGCCTCGCTGGTGGTATGGATTGGTTGATGGTGAAGTGATAGGAACTGGCCCCTACTTGTGTATAGTGTATGTATGCGGCAGACTTACTGCAAGATGGTCAAGATGACGTGGTTTTAAAAGAGGGAACAAAGAACGCTAAAGCCACTCTATCAGATGCAGTTACGAAGACACGCAATTTTCTTTTTCATTTTCATTCGGTCGCTGATGGCTGCTTTCTACAAATCATCTCATTTGTTTGGGGCTGACTTTAAATTTGTGCAGAATCAAACACATCCAACTGTTTAAAAATAAAAAGAAGTGTCTAAACAGCTCTTGCATTTTTTTTCCAGGCATGCCAGCGGCCTCTCTGGTGACACCAGCAGACGTGATTAAGACCAGACTACAGGTGGCGGCACGTGCCGGTCAGACCACCTACAGCGGCATGGTGGACTGTTTTTGGAAGATTCTCAGAGAAGAGGGACCCCGGGCTTTCTGGAAAGGAGCTGAAGGTAATGTTCACTGAGGCCAGTGTCTAATGAGGAGAAGAACAGTTGTGATTATACACAAAGGGTGTGATTTCCACACACATACACACACACACACACACTTATACAGGTACAGTAACACTCTCTGAACACGTCCTCTTACTGTCCAGTCACCAAAATCCAAATGAGTTGATTCGCTCTGAGTCACTTTCAGTGTTGCACTCATAGTCATAATATTTACAAGGAGGTGCAATGAGTGCTTTGCAGACTGCTTCACCTCCCAGGCCACGTACAGGTTGCCCTGCCTTATTGGTGGAGGCTGTTGGGCCATATGCAGCCTGAGAGAAATGCTGCAGAAACGGAAAAAGTACTTCCATCCCCTCCTCATGTTTTTAGGGGAAAGAAAGATTTTATCTATATGTTTACTGATGGGAAATATTCACCCATAAAGGTGCTAGAATTTAAAATCATTCAAGGATAAGGCAGCAAAGGACTGTGCTTTGTTTTAACATGAATTTAACACATCATTATTTCATCCATTATTTTAAGTATTGACTGGACGTTATGTCAGTCTGGAAGAAGAACATAAATATGTTATTTGAGTACTCATAATGATTATTTTCATTTGCTTCCACACGTGTAACTGAAATCACATATAGTTTTTTGATGTTTGATAAATGACAGCGTTTTGTAATCCCATGTGGAATGGGCCAAATGTTCGGCATGGCATAGCATGGAAATAAAAATTGGATTACAATTATTGAATACTACAATCATTATGGGAAACATAACTAGTCATTATTTGCCATTTCTGTTGTTGTGGAACCTCTGATTTCTTTGTGTCCCCCTCACACCTGAAACCAAACCTTGATTTTACTCTTGTGTAGATTAGTGTCCATATAAATTTAAAGAAACCCATTTCTACCCCTTCCTGCAGCTCGTGTGTTCAGATCCTCACCTCAGTTTGGAGTGACCTTGGTGACCTATGAACTCCTGCAACGCTGGTTCTATATCGACTTTGGAGGACAGTAAGTCTCCTTCTCTCATACAACCCTTCCAACAGTTCATGTTTTACTGTCATCACAAAAGCAACACCCCCTCCAACTGACCAGTGAATCAATATAAAGCACACAGAAATTTCTTCTTGCCTTCTTTCTTTTGAGGATAGAACAATACAGGAAGTTCATCTCATTATCAAAGACCATCTCCCTCCAGAACAATGGGGTTAATTTCAACTGACAGTAGCTGCTCTTGGTGTCCTCCCTCCTGTACCAGAGAGAAAGAAAATGCCACAAGACCAAAAATAATTTCTGTGCACATTAGCTGACACACTGAAGCCCTCACTCAAAGCTCAGGATGTGACAATTTTCTCAAACTCAAGAGTTTTACCGCACAGTGATCAGGGCAGGCAGCACCCATTTGACTTGTGCATGTATTTTCTCCACTTCTGGGATTGAACGAGCTCATTTTCCTCCTCAAAATAGGTCCCTCTCTGGAATAATTCCCTCCTTTTCTAAAGTTAAAAAAGGTCCAGTGGGGAGAAGAGAGGTGGTGAACCTCTCCAAAATGACTGAGAAAGTGCTCCTTATAATGGACAGCAGGGTTGCACATGCATGTGTTCGCTGAATGGCTCAGGATTTTTACATGTAGCTCCCTCTCTACCAAAAGACAGTGAAACTTAACCAGATGCAATTCCGATGAAGATTTGGTGGTGTTTTTGAGCAAGTTGATGCGAGTGCTCCTTCGCTGTACACATTGGAAGTGAATCACGGTGCTCAACATGAAATTAGTAAGGGATTTGATTTAGTTCTACTCTAAGGGAGAAATGTTCAAGTTGCGGTGAACAGGGTTGAATATGATCATAATAATTAATGATAATAATAAAACTCCAGTCTGTGCATGCTCCCATTCTCCCCTCTTTGGTTAAAATAACATCTTGCCCCGTGTTTATGTTGTTTGCCCCCGCTTACTCTAGCGGTCCTCACCTTTTTCTCCTTTATTCAGCTCTCTCACTGTGCCTCTGGCTCCCTCTTTCCCCCTCTCCACACCACAGAAAGCCGGCTGGCTCGGAGCCCACCCCCAAGTCTCGGATCAGCCTGCCGGCGCCCAACCCCGACCACATCGGAGGCTTCAGGTTGGCCATGGCCACGTTCGCTGGCATCGAGAGCAAGTTTGGACTCCATCTCCCAAGCTACATTGTGGCGACAGCAGCAGAAGCGGGGGGCCCCCCCTCAACTGTGAGCACCCCCTGAACCTGAGGAGGGGGGGGTGGTAAGTGAAAGAGAAGGCTAAAATGTTTTTCATTTTTTGTAGAATTTTAAGTTACTCATTTAAAGTTATTTATAATATTTTCTTCTTGTATGGCAGCCTATATTCAACCATATGGATTAGTAAGCATGGGTACTCAAAGAAAGTTCTTTGTAGGACTCATGCAGTATTTATTTACCTTTGATTGACGCTGTATAGAGTTTTATTATAATGTGGTTTATACAGTATGTACAGCACACAGGCAGCTGATGGCCTGGCAGAAGTTTAAACACACTGCTTGCTTTTTTTGGGAAAATAGTGTCAAACACCCAGTTGCAGCTTTTTCCAGTGTCTGCCCTTTGTTGCTTTATCCTCAAATGATCATATAGCTGGTTTGAAAAAAGATTTATCATAAATAAGCACATCTGTATATACAAGAAATCCAGAGACATATTTTAACATCTATAAGGCTATTTTTGTCCTGAGTTGCTCTTCCAATAGTGTGCTGATTTGATCGAATGTATCAATAAGAATAGAACCAAAAGGTACTTGAATGTAAAGACACAGCACAACATTTTGACTGTACACGTTTACTGGTGTAAGATGTTTGGTTCCAGGTCTAAATGTATGCAGATGTGTGAATATCTGTAGAGACTGCTGGCACCGACTGCAGTTCTGTAGTATGTCACGATTTTGTTTGTACAAACACAGAGAATGTAGGAGTTACATATGGTGTGTGATAATTGTGCCTTACTGTGCGTATGGCAGCAACATGTGTACTGAGAGTAAAAAGAAACTTATATTAGTAAACTGAACGTATGCCGGAGTTTACATTTTCCTTCCCAGTTGAGCACCGCAAGGAAAAAGCGAGACAGGAATTCAGCAGCTATGCTTTAATAGCAAACATAGCAGGTTTAACAGCGGCCACTCTGCATTACAATATATCTCTTGATAATTGTTACAGTTCATTAAAGAATATACAGTTGTTGCTCTTGTTCAGAACAAAATACTTGATTCAGTTTCTGACATCCTGAAACACTGACACAAAGCAGCCACAAAGCCCCACGTGTGAAAACGCCACCATAATAGCTCCATGTTTATGCATCTGGAATATTTCAGGAATGTGTTGCATGCAGGCATAATACACAGAAAAGAAGCACAACATAAAGTGAACATGACATTTTGTAAACAATACATGACTAGTCTATGGACCCTGCTTTATTTTTACGGTAGTGCAAAGCGTCGTTACAGTACACACAATTTCATAAGGCTATTAGACTGCCACTTTGTACATACTGTAGGTGGACGAGTTGATCACCTTAAATCAGTAAACAAATAAATAACGGTGGACAAATCATCAAAGATCAACAGTTACAGACTGTTTGCATTTACAGGAGAGTAAACAATAAAAGCGCGGGTTTTGTTTGGATCAGACAGGAAGTGTACAGAAAGGGGAAGAATCACATGCTACAGTGACACCAATGAAAGCACACCAGGTCTCTGATTCCCTCCGCTTTGTTTGGAGTCCTCTTCTATGAAGCCAGCTCCATAGGCCCCTCCTCTTCGCCGTCCGCCCGGTTAGCACGGATCTCCATCAGGGTGCGAGCGAAGCGCCCCCAGTCATCAGTGTGAGTCACTGACAGCTGTAAGAAAGAACATTTACAAGACTATTTTATTAACACTGCCACCGTGGACAACGATGGGAAATAAACAAAAATAAGGCAGCATTCAGGCCGACTTCAGCACTGCATGGAAAGAAAAGAAGCCCCCTCATTCTTTTGAATGAATTAATTCAAATTCATTCAAAAAGGTTAATCGACCATCAGAGCTAAACATTCACATGAACTGCACTGACCGCAGGGCTAATACAGGATGTCAAACAGAGCGCAGTTCCTCTTTTAAGTGTCTACCTAGAGTTGTACACTGTGGGAGTCAGAATGAGTGGGACAGAAGCCGCCACCCAAGCAGTCTGCAACCGCTTTGCGTGGCCAGGCTGTAATTAAACGGGAACCAGGAGGAGGGAGGTAGCCATTTTGAACCCCCCCAACCCCCCACAGAGCTGGGCTGGCCGCAGCAGGGGGCTCTGGCATCATGTATATGGTGCCTGAGTGACATCAGCGTTTTAACAGACTACAAGAAGCTTAAGTGTAAAAAAGAAACACTGTTGGATTTTGTGTTGTCAGGCTTTGTCCAACTCATTTCACACTCACTAAAGTTTTGTCCCATGACAGCCATCTGAAAGACTTTCCATACAGAGCAGCACCAGTAGAGTGCTAATCAAAACAGCCCTAATCCCTGCTGATAAATGACCTAAAACTAATTTGCACTGAGTAAAATAATAAAAAGTATTTGGAACTACTGGCATCTCTTTTTCACATGCTGTTACTTGTTCCAGCCATATGGGGGGGAGTTTCTAGTGAAGTAAATACCCCCATCACCACCAAACAAACAAACACACACACACACACACACACACACACACACACACACACACACTCACTCCTCTTTACAGTCATAAAACCTTTCAACCCCGCTCACTTTTATTGATGACTCTTTGTTACCATCAGCCATTGAGGCCACCAGCTCTGCCGAGCCTCTCTCCAACTTACCACACAACAAAAAGACGCTAAAATTAGCACAGCGGCTAGGCTAACGCGCCCTCACATGGGGATCCTAACCAGAACCCTGCAAACATGAGAGAACAGGCAGGGTGGTTGGCCGCTTTGTGGTGATGGCAAAGTCACGTGGAGGCCATTTTACAGGGACACGAAAGAGGGAGGGGGAAAAATCAAACACATACATCCATGGCAATGCTGACAGTTGGTTAAACATACAGGACTAGAAGACCTAAAATGGTCAGTTGTGGTGTATGTAGAGGTTTTACTTTAAAAAAGAACTGGCTTACTTCTGCTCTTATAGTACAAGTCTTTCACCAAAGTCATTGGACCAAATACACATGAAACACAACAAGAGTACAGTATGTATAAATACTCATTCACTCAGTCACAGTTACGTACATCATTTGACTATTTGCAGCAGTTTTTCCCACCACATGACTCCTGAAGAATCAGAAGAGAGGTTCTTATACTGAGTCGTTACTGATGTTTCATTTAGTGGTGCCAGTAACTCAATTTCAGGCACTAAAATCTTTCTCTATACTGTAGTTAAACTTCATTGCAACGGTGCAATACATTTTGGTCATTGTAGTTCACCCATGCTTTTGGCACCTAGGGTGTAATTAAATCTAGTCTGAAAACTAAACCCATGAGAACCACCAGCTCCATGCATACAGCGCTCAAAGTGAATGCAACAACAATGTGCTCAACAGATTCTGCCAAAATATTAAGATTATAAGAGAAACACCTGAGTGCAACACTATTTAAAATGTCACACTTAATATTCTGTAATGATTAAGACTATACCTGGTGTAGTCTCACTCCGCCCTTATTTCTGGGTACCAAAAAAAGATTCTGCTCACTTTACAGCAATGTATTGTGTGATTAATGTACTTTAAAAGATTAATAGCTGTACCTCTCCAGTATCATAGATCCAGACTCTGCCTTCTGAGTCGCCCACAGCCACCTCCTTCCCTCCTGACGACCAGCGCACCCTGTTCAGGGCCGAAGCGCCCTCAATGGTTACACTGGCAGTTGGTACCTGGTGGACAAAAAACATCAACAAATAAACCAAAAAAGTGTTCAGTATCAAGCCAAATGTAACATTTTTCAGCTTCCACATCACTTTACATTCATGCAATCAGACATTTCTATGTAATATGAGTTGTATAACAAACAACTTATCGAGACAAGGAACTGGCAAGACCAGAACTCCGGAAGACCGCTCATTGTGCACTTTGGAAATAAGTTACAATGCAATGTGAGCCTCTAACAAGGCACATAAACCTTTATAAAACCCTCCAGTCTTCTGCCTGTAGGCAAGTGGTGTTAAAACTTTTTCTGTTACAGCTGTTTGTGTTTGAAGCATTTCATATTTTTCTCATTAATAGATATAACCTGCTGAATGTAAATGAGTGAGTTTGTAAGTTACTTACAAACCAAGTCCATCTCTGAAGCACTTTACCAGCTTCCTGGATATTACATTTCTAAACAAAACGCACTGAAATAAAGAATCATATTTACACTGTATCTCTTGAGTCCGTGTTTCTTTTTATTTAATGACCCTAACTGCAGTTTAAGCTATTCTTGTTTGTTTATTGGAAAATTATGCCAGTACAGTGTCATTTACAGAACAAATGTACTCCATTGAAAGCACAACTTTATTCAAATACCCTGGAGGTTGTCAAATTTGCAACTTCTCATTCATATGTGGACACGCACAAGGCTATTTACTGTGTAATAACTGCGTTCATGTTTGCTGTCGGGGGTCAGCTGGTGCTCTTTTAAATGGCAGTGCTCGTGTTGCACCTTCCTAAAAACCTAAAACCATCTGCAGTGTATCCATAAAATGTTCCTGACATGTGGCAGGCGAGTCTGACACATGTCACCAGTGGAGACAGGGGCCTTGGCATCATGTCGCCTCACACACCGAGCTTCTGCGTATTTAAAGCAGCGCTAACCACAGACTGACTGCCATTAGCCTGCTAGCTTCCACCGCTCCGCCCGAGTGGATCTGAACTGAGCACTTTAAATTGGCTGTATATATGTGTGTGTGTGTGTGTGTGTGTGTGTGGTGGAAATGAGAACCAGGCGCGCCTCACTGCTCCGTTAGTGTCGTTACGTGTGTTTTTTAAATGATGGCAACAATGGAAGTCTGTGGCTATTAGAAGGACTGTGTATGAGTGAATGTGTGCAATGTGTTTGGAACATCCGTTTGTGTGTGTGTGAGCAAATGTTTCTCATAAAGCACATTGTTAGCTGAGTTAGGCCGTCGATAATGAACTCTTCCTCTGTCGGTGAAAGGCTGCTGTTGAGAGGACCATGGGAATCTCGTCGTCTGTGCTGCAGAGGGGGAAGACGCTTCTGATGGGATCAGTGTAGGAAAGAGTGTCGGGGTTAAAACAGGAGGAGAGAGATTTGATGATGAGAACTGCGGTGGGAGATGAGATGTGGACAGTACAAAGAAGAGCATTATGACAGAGGAAGGAGAGCATCTGTGGAGAAGCAGACTTGTATTAAGGCTCTGTGGGTGTTGTCCCCATGGAAACCATGAGAGAAGGAGAATGGAGGCTCCTGTTATCCTCACTTTTACCTGAGTGATCAAAGGGTTGGTATCCACTCCAGTAAAGTATGATTTTAGGACTCATGGCTGAAGACATCTGAACACCATAATGTAACTTTTTCTTCCTTTCCACTTTGGGAAATCCAATTATTTGCGTTCTTGCCGAGAGTTACAGAAAATGAGAGGATCCATACCACTTCTCATTGTATTCTAAATAAGAAGCTACATCCAGGAGACAGCTTAGCTTAGCATAAAGAAAGGAGACAGAGGGAAACAGCTAGCCTGGCCAAGTAAAAAAAACCATCTCTGAAGCTCGGTAACTAACATGTCTCATTTGTTTAATCTGTACAAAAACTGAAGTGTACAGCTTTAGAGATGCTGGTGGGCGGCTTTTGTTTCCTTTGTACGGAGACAGTATAGATGTTTCCCCCTGCTTTAAGTCTTTAGCTGCTTACTGTAGCTTCATGTTTACCACACATACATGAGAGTGGTGTCAATATTCTTATCAAACTCTCTGCAAGAAATTATTTCCCAAAATTTCTAACTAATTATTTTATCAATAAGTAACTGCAAACAAACGAAATTGATTTGGAGAATACAATGACCATGAGATAATTCAGTTGAGATTGCTGTTTTGGAAAAACAGGTATGTAATTTATTTTATTTTACACTATTTATTTGTGTTTATGAAACTTGTCCCACAGCAGAGAAACTCAACCCTTGGCCTGAATTTTCTCCTTTTATTATTTTCATCTCCAGCATGGACTGCGGACTGAGGGCTGGGGCTCTCTGCTTGTGGTCTCCTGAACATCTGTGTGCTTCACTGATGGGACAGAGTGTGGGAGGCAGATGAGAGGAGATGGCGGGGTCCTGAGGTTGCCTGTACGTTGGACAGAAGTTGCAGGAATGTTAGCGGGACGTCTGGGTGGGAGCCGGGATGAGGAGATGTCACTAAGTGTGATTTAAAGCGATGGCTGTGGGAAACGCCCACAGGGGAATCTTGAATCGTGTGTGTGAAGGGGTTTGATGGGAGGGAAAAGGCTTGGATGTTTGGTTGTGCGGTTCGGGCTGAGGCCCAGCAACAGGCCCTGAGGATACCAAACATACACGCACATCAACACACAAAGGGATGACACAGAAAACACGCCCATAATGACCTACATTTACCCACCAGTGCACACAAACACACACAAACACACACACACACACCTCAGTGTCGTTGTTGAGGTTCCACAGGTCCAAGCGGCCCATGCCATCCACGGCGGCGAAGATCGCCGGGTGTACGGGCGACCACATGACGTCATACACATAGTCGGCGTTGTCCTCAAACGAGTACAGAGGCTTGTTGTGCTGAAAGAGAGAAAGAGAGGATATTAATGTAAGTGTGTATGACTGAGATGGTGGGGAAAAGCACTGCGGAGAAATAGGCAGAGAGTTAGAGATTACAGTAGATGACACATTAGAGATAGAAAAGAAAGACAGAGAGAGAGAGAAGGAATGGAGAGAGGGAGTGAGTGAGCTTCAGACAGAGTGGCGCTGCCTCAGCCTTGGGGCCTGTCTGGGTGCAGAGCCTAATTAAAAAGCCTAGCACATTCACACAGCGCCATAAAACCGCTGGGAGAGATGAAAGGGAGGGCCCCTCCACAAGGTGTACTGTAACCTCGACACAACAGCTGTCTAAGAGAGAGATGGGAAGAGATGGAAAGGGGAGGAAAAGGAGGGTTGGACAATGGACGGAGAGGAAGGGGCATTGGAAATAGGATGCGTGTGTGGAGGCCTACAATGATGTCAATATTTGAGAGTGAAAACAAAAGTCTGACAACAACATATGAGCTGATATTCATCTGTTAACACGAACAAAAGACGTGCTGAGCTGGATGTTTTACATTTGAAAATGAAACATGTCAGTGCTCTCTGCTGGACAAACTATTTAAAGGAGACATCGAAATTGCCTAAAACATGTCTTTGCATCGCTTTTTTGCACTTTCTTGTTACTTATTGGCCAAAAGACATCTAAATTCTCAAGATTATGGAGACTCAACTGTCCTGAACAGTCGAGCAGGACAACAAAATGACCCTTAGGTTAAATTTCACTAATTAATTTGTCACGTTATGATCTAAAAGCGTGTACACATCTTTTTTGTTGTGTAGAAATCCAGCTTTTGCACGCTCCATAATTGTGTATGTGGTGTGTTTTTGTTTTTCTTGCCGATGGTCTTGTGCTGGTGTTGTTGAACTTTGACCTAGAGCTGCACTGACTTGGTTGAAAGCTACTGCTTGTGCTGCAATTAAAGATGGAGGATAAATTGAATACGTGTGGGAATATAGCTTAATACAAGTGTGTGTGTGTTTGTGTGCACGTATGTGTGTGTGCCCATCTCTCAAAGCGGCTGTTTGGAGGCTTACAAACTGCATTCCTGACAGGTAGAGTGGGAGGGGTGGAGGAGAGGAGACAGGTTGGCTGGAAGAGCAAATGAAGGAATGTAGTCTCTCTCTCTCTCTCTCTCTCTCTCTCTCTCTCTCTCTCCTCTTTTCCTCATCCTCTCATTCCTCCCCTTTTTCTCCATCACCTTTATTCTCTCCCTCCACGGTTGTCCTGAAAGGCTGCGAGACCTGCAGACAGATAGCAGCGCACGCACACGCAAACACAAACAAACAGTGCCAAGCCAATTTCAAGCCTCGATTGAACCTGTTTTCCAGCCGGCAGGGTGACAGCAGAGGTCATTTTACTCTGAGCTGAGCAATTCCTGTTTATGTTCTCTCTCTCTTGTCCTCGCTTTGTTTTAGTCCATGTTCCCACTGCTTTGTAACTGCACTCTTTGACTGCAGACTTTGACTTTAAAGTATTTCATATTATGGGATTGTATTTAAAACATAATTTCATTTTGATAATCTGCTTTACTCAACAACGCCTCTTAATTTAATTTTGTGCTGTCTTTCTGGAAAATGTCCTTGATGCATTTGGCCATACCCTTCAAGTAATAATAATAATAATAATAATAATAATAATCTTTATTTGTAGAGCACTTTTCAAAAACAAGTTACAAAGTGCTTTAACAAGTGTAAAGACAATAATACCCAAAATACAATAATACAAAAACAATACAAGATAAAGAAAAGAAAGGCTAAAATACACGTTTAAGATAAATATAAAATTAGTAAAAAAGAATAAAATAAAGTCAAATAAGATCGGGAAAGGCTCTCCTATAAAAGTATGTTTTAAGAAGGGACTTAAAAGAGTTCACTGACTCAGCCGACCTGATTTCCTCGGGCAGGCTGTTCCAGAGCCTCGGGGCCCTGACAGCAAACGCTCTGTCCCCTTTAGTTTTCAGTCGAGACTCTGGAACAGACAACAGACCTCTGCCTGAGGATCTCAAGGTACGTGCTGCTGCGTATGGGACTAAAAGTTCAGAAATATAACAAGGCGAGAGGCCATGAAGAGCTTTAAAAGTGATCAACAGAATTTTAAAGTCAATTCTAAAACATACTGGGAGCCAGTGTAATGAAGCTAAAATAGGAGTAATGTGGTCATATTTCTTTGTTCTGGTTAAAAGCCTGGCAGCTGAGTTCTAGACAGTCTGGAGTCGATCAATAGATTTTTGGGTTAAACAGGTGAAAAGGCTGTTGCAATAATCCAGGCGTGTTGAGATGAAGGCGTGTAAAATGGTCTCCGTGTCCTTAAAAGTTAACATAGATCGAATTTTTGCTATATTTCTAAGTTGATAAAAACATGATTGAACAAGCTTTGTGGTGTGCTGCTCAAAATTTAAATTACTATCAAACCAAACACCAAGGTTCTTTGCCACAGGCTTAATGTGATTCACTAGGGAACCAGCAGCCATCTGCTGGGACCCGATGACCAGGATTTCTGTTTTGTCTGAGTTCAGCTGGAGGAAATTATTTGACATCCATTTTTTAACTTCACAAAGGCAGTTGTTAAGTGAACTCAGCATTCCAGGGTCTGTGGATCTGACAGGCAAGTATATTTGTGTGTCATCAGCATAAATATGAAAAGAAATGCCATGTTTATGGATAATATGTCCAAGGGGAAGCAGATACAAGGAAAACAAAATGGGTCCTAAGACCAACCCCTGAGGCACACCATATTTAACTGGACAGAACGAAGAGACATAGTTGTTTACAGACACGCAAAACTTCCTATTTGACAGGTAGGATGAAAACCATTCTAGGGCAGTACCAGAGATCCCCACCCAGTGCCTCAGTCTGTCTAACATGATGTTGTGATCAATGGTGTCAAAAGCAGCGCTAAGGTCCAGGAGTACCAGGACTGAGCACATGCCTTCATCAGCAGACATTAAAAGGTCATTGGTGACTTTAAGCAGGGCAGTTTCAGTGCTGTGCTGTACTTCCTGAAACCAGATTGAAACTTTTCAAATATTTTGTTGTTTTCCAGTACAGTGAGCAGCTGTTCGGACACAATTCTTTCTAGAATCTTTGCAATAAAAGGCAGTTTTGAAATTGGTCTAAAATTTTATGGGAGGGAGGGATCTAAACCAGATTTCTTTAAAAGTGGGTTCACGCAAGCCGTTTTAAAATAATCAGGGACACTGTTGAAAACAGAGATCAAATGGGGCCCAACAGAATCTATTACTTTCAGTAAAAACTTTGTAGGTATTACATCAAGTGGGCTGGTGGACACTCTCATTTGTGATACTGTTTTTAAAAGTATCACGTAAGTAATACATCATGTTAGAGATGCATCTACTGCATCTACTGACAATTCAAAATGTAAACTACTGTTTTACTGTAGTCTGCCCATAATCTACCTTTCTTAAATAAGGTGATTTAGGTAAATAATCTGCAGCAACAAGTCTTAAAACTAATCTTAAAATGAAGCTTAATCCTTGTGGCGCCGCACATGAAGCAACTGCTTGTCATTATCTTTCCTGTGCTGAGAAGCTGCGGAGCCTCAAGCAGGTTTGAACTGGAAAACCATCACTGAAACACACCGTGCAATGTCAGTTTATTGACGTAAATCAGTAAAATTAATGGATGGGTGCAAGTTAAATTAAGCATTTAATGCTTTAGATATTGACGCAAAAATACATGCCAGCCCGTGTCTTCTGACCGTGGCATTGATATCCCTGCTAATAAAGTCCCACTGAAATATAACAACATATAAATAACCTTTCAGGACTACAATGACTCTCTGTCTCAATTTCCTATCCCACTAGCTTCACACCAGGTTTAATAACTAGGCTACACACTGAGGGGACTGAGATGACTCACGTTAGAAACTGCTTCACAAACGGGGCTAAAAAAGTAAACGACAGCACGTAATCCTTAACTGAATATCAAGATGCCATTTTCAGTACATAGACGCAAATCTGAAGCATGATCAACACTCGTTAACAATCACCTGAACTCACAGTGATGTAATTAACTTCTTAAGAAAGCAAAAGTGGAATGATTATGCTCCATCCAATCACTAAGCAGATGCTGGGTTTGGGGTCAAGAGAGCAAGATGGTTCAAGTTATGCACAATCATAAACCCACTCCCGGCTGTTGTGACGGCTTCACACTCTGGCCGACTAAATGTTTTCACTAACCACACTATTTGCTCTGCTGAGTGAAACAACATCAGCAGACTTCTGCGTGACGGCCCTTTTTGAAGTGTGAGGGCAAATGTGTGTGAATGCAAAGAGAATTCACTGCGAATGTGTGAGTGTGTGTGTGTGTTACACCAGTTGGGCTGAAGTCAAACCTCGAGGGGGTTTTAGGTAAGCAAAGGCAGTTTGCTTAAGGTGCACGCGAGGCATGTGTGGTGTGTCTATATTTGCATGCACACACACACAAATATGGGTTCTGTGGGATAAGAGACAGACACACATTCCTGCGGTGCCCCTCAAAGGAAAGGGAATTCCCAAATCCTGAAAAATAACACACTCTTCTGATAAAAATCCACAGATATGTTTTAATATGTGTCACGGGACCCTTCGCACCATAAGACTTATGGACTAGCTGCATGCAAACATGAGTGCTTTACTGCCTGTTGTCACAGCCAAGTATGAACACTGTAACTGGATCTGGCATAAAGCTGGAGGTATTATGCAATATACATTATGTATTTTCCTCATATTGAACAGGTCTGTTTGCCGTTTGATGCCCTGCTCATGTTGATCCCTCTGTCCTTCCATGTTAGCCTCACCTCCACTATTAACCAGAACATTTTTCTCCTGGCCCTTTCCCTTCGCCCTCTCCTGCTGACTCTTCCAGCCATTTTTCGCTCTTTCACCATTTTCTTTCCTTCCTTCTTCCTCCTTTGTCTGCAGTGTGCATCACCTGTTCTGCTACTTCTTGCTATCCCATTACCTTTGACCCTTTCTACCTCAGACAGACATCGGTCTTAACTTCGTACCTTCGTCATCCTCCTGTTTCCTTCTTTATCCTCACTATCCTCGTTTCTCCTCCACTCAAATACATGAACTTAACAATGAAATATCTCAGTTTATAATCACGTTGTCATCGCAGAATTTCTTCCCCTGTGCAGTATTCACAAATGTACCCGCGCATACTCCTCCGTGTCTCACCACCATAATGAATGTATTAACTTTTTCTATTCTCTAACACTCACTCTGACAGAAACAGCAACAGTTGGCTTTATGCTGCCACTGCAGTGCTGCCAAGTGGAATTCATCACATCGGTTTGAAAGGGAAACAAATGCCCTGAGTGGACTAGATCAGTGGTTCTCAAACTTTTTCATATCAAGGACCCCTAAACTGACTCAAATTAGACCACGGACTCCTATTCTGATAGAATTTTTGCTATTAGAGCTTTTATTACAGAAAGTGTATGAAACCTGTGACATTCTGTCATTGTGTTACTTATGGATAGAATTATTACAAAAATAAATTATTACACTTTTTGCTGGAGACCCTCTACAACTCACTCAAGGACCCCACTTTGAGAACCACTGGATTAGGTCACTCAAAAACTAGCGAGGGGAGGAGCGGCCACCTTCAGAATCGTTTCGCTAGATGAAAGTTAGATTCACTAACTCGCACTAACTCGCTCAGGTGCACAATGTTTAATATCTGATGAAGACCTGATATGAGGAACTGGTCTGATCTAACTTTTGCAGGGTAAAAACAGTCTTGCGGTGAAAGATTTATGAATGAGATCTGTGTGCAGTTTTTTTAAACATTTATAAATAAAATGAATGGGGTTATAGTTCAGTTTTGATCCTAAAAATAAACTAAGTGTTTACACTGAAGGCCTTTTTACACCTAATCAGTGTTAATTATTATTCTTTGTCCTCAAGTGACAGTGACCAATGTTCTACTTTTACTGTGAATCTGCCAGAGGCTGTTTTTGCCCTGAATAAGGCCTCACTGTCGTAAACATCCAGCCTACTTCGATAGTATTGGCTGTATGCATGTTCTGTACTATCTATAAAACTACAGCATTTTATTAGCAGACCTTAATGTGGGGGCAGCGCACAGCCAAGGAGGAAATTGCCTGACAGGCTGAATTTAGGCTAAAACAATATGTGGAGCAATAAGTGCAACTTGTCATAGACCCTAACTGTGTTATTAGTACACACACCCAGTATCCATAAAGCCAGTGGCAGAACTTTCCCAATTTATTCCCACACACACATACACACAACACACACAACTAGTAAGAGAAGACTGATTTTCCAAAAAGTTTCTCAGTTTTTGGAAAACTTAGCCCCCCCCCCCCCCAACTACTTCATTCTCTCTTCATTCTCAACTCTCTTTCACACACATTTTCTCTCTCTGCAACCTCTCACAATCAACCCCCCACACATCCTACCTTGGTGCTCCAAAGTTTTACAGTCCAGTCGAAGGAGGATGTGATGAAGAGGTGGGAAAAGTCGACAGTGCCCACTGCGCTGTGGCAGCTGATACCCGTCACCGGTCCCTGGTGGCCCTCGAACATCTCACAGATGCCCGCCTTACTGAGGAGGGAAGACACAGGTGTGACATACTCTCATTGGCCACTTTATTAGGTACACCATGCCTTCAGAACTGCCTTAATTCTTCATGGTCTATTGGATTGAGATCTGGTCACAGGAGGCCATTAGAGTACAGTGAACTCATTGTCATGTTCAAGAAACCAGTTTGAGAGGATTTGAGCTGTGTGACATGGTGCATTATCCTGTTGGCAGTAACCATCAGAAGATGGGTACACTGTGGTCATAAAGGGATGGACATGGTCAGCAACAATACTCAGGTAGGCTGTTGTGTTTAAACAATACTCAATTGGTACTAAGGGGCCAAAAGTGTGCCAAGAAATTATCCCCCACACCATTACAACACAAACTCCAGGCTGAACCGTTGATACGAAGCAGGATGGATCCATGCATATGTTGTTTACACCACATTCTGACCCTACCATCTGAATGTCGCAGCTGAAATCAAGACTCATCAGGCCAGGCAGATCAGACCGTCTGGCACCAACAACCTTGTCCACGTCTACATACCTAAATGCATTGAGTTGCTGCCATGTGATTGGCTGATTAGCTATATGTGCTAACAAGAAATTCAACAGGTGTACCTAATAAAGTGACCAGTGAGTGTACATTGCTACACTATTCAGCTCTGCAGTGTTTTAGTCGGTTTAACTTATTTGATTATAAAGCAGTGAAATGGTTTGCGCCTTCCTGCTGATCTCAGATAAATTTACAGCACAGTCAGGGAGCTTTGATTAAAAGTGAAACGATTAACTCCTTAAATTGAGAGAAAATAACATTTTTAAAAACAATTCTAATTCAACTTGTTATTCTAAGAAGCTTTACTTGTTTCAAGAAATCTCGAGGTGACAAGAAAAAAACACTTGAATACACAAAATTTAGTTTTTAAAAAAGTGAATAATAATAATAATAATAATAATTTTTATTTGTAGAGCACTTTTCAAAAACAAGTTACAAAGTGCTTTAACAAGTGTAAAGACAATAATACCCAAAAGACAATAATATAAAAACAATACAAGATAAAAGCATGAAAACATTGAAAAGACTAAAATACACGTTTAAGATAAATATAAAATTAGTAAAATAGAATAAAATAAAAGGGATAAAATAAAGTCAAATAAGATCGGGAAAGGCTCTCCTATAAAAGTATGTTTTAAGAAGGGACTTAAAAGAGTTCACTGACTCAGATGACCTGATTTCCTCGGGCAGGCTGTTCCAGAGCCTCGGGGCCCTGACAGCAAACGCTCTGTCCCCTTTAGTTTTCAGTCGAGACTCTGGAACAGACAACAGACCTCTGCCCGAGGATCTCAAGGTACGTGCTGGTGTGTATGGGACTAAAAGTTCAGAAATATAACAAGGCGAGAGGCCATGAAGAGCTTTAAAAGTGATCAACAGAATTTTAAAGTCAATTCTAAAACACACTGGGAGCCAGTGTAATGAAGCTAAAATAGGAGTAATGTGGTCATATTTTTTTGTTCTGGTTAAAAGCCTGGCAGCTGAGTTCTGGACAGTCTGGAGTCGATCAATAGATTTTTGGGTTAAACAAGTGAAAAGGCTGTTGCAATAATCCAGGCGTGATGAGATGAAGGCGTATAAAATGGTCTCCGTGTCCTTAAAAGTTAACATAGATCAAATTTTTGCTATATTTCTAAGTTGATAAAAACATGATTGAACAAGCTTTGTGGTGTGCTGCTCAAAATTTAAATTACTATCAAACCAAACACCAAGGTTCTTTGCAACAGGCTTAATGTAATTTACTAGGGAACCAGCAGATGGCAGTATTTGTTTTGCCATCTGCTGGGACCCGATGACCAGGATTTCTGTTTTGTCTGAGTTCAGCTGGAGGAAATTATTTGACATCCATTTTTTAACTTCACAAAGGCAGTTGTTAAGTGAACTCAGCATTCCAGGGTCTGTGGATCTGACGGGCAAGTATATTTGTGTGTCATCAGCATAAATATGAAAAGAAATGCCATGTTTATGGATAATATGTCCAAGGGGAAGCAGATACAAGGAAAACAAAATGGGTCCTAAGACCGACCCCTGAGGCACACCATATTTAACTGGACAGAACGAAGAGACATAGTTGTTTACAGACACGCAAAACTTCCTATTTGACAGGTAGGATGAAAACCATTCTAGGGCAGTACCAGAGATGCCCACCCAGTGCCTCAGTCTGTCTAACATGATGTTGTGATCAATGGTGTCAAAAGCAGCGCTAAGGTCCAGGAGTACCAGGACTGAATGTATATTTTTTGCAGCATTATTTTACTTTCATGTTTAACTCTGTTTAAATATGTAAGCAAAAAAACTGGAACTGATTCAGCAAAGATTTGTCTGTGAGGTTTTGTTCATGTGTGTGTGTGTGTCCACGTGTCCACAAACCTGCCATGTCTGGATGCCGTGTACACAGTGCCCTCCTCGCTCCCGACCACATAGTTGTTAACGTCTCCCGTGGGGAAAGCCATGCCTGTCACCGCCACGGGTTTGGATTTATTGTAGACCAGTTCCATGGTCTCCTGCATGCACACACAGTAGGAAGCATTACTGTGAGACTGTATACACATTCAAAAACAAGTCAATACATATCCAACAAACGTTATAGACAATAAACCTCTCCATTTTAACAAACCGTGTTATCTCAAGGCTCAACACTTGACTTATTGACTCGTGTGGAGCTGTTAGCAGGTTGTGTGGACAGTGTGTTGGGCGGTGAGTGTGTTGTGTACCTGCGGCTGGGAGAGCATGTCCAGACTCCAGGAGCACATCCTGCCGTCTGTAGACACAGTGATCAGGTTGTTGGCGTTCTGTGTTCCGACCACATTCACGCAGTACACTGGGTGCTACACACACACAGACACACACACACAAAAAGAGATCAAGACAAACAAATGGGAGAGATTGGTGTAGATACACTTGTACAATGCAACAGATTATGTCACATGTTTTCAATATCATAACTCAGTTGTAACACGATTGCAGCAATCCCAACTAAAATGACTGTTGCATATTGTGATTACAGTCACAAATTATTAGTCTTGATTTAGTCATTGATTAGAAGCATAAAAGTTTCTCTGCACATTTGGCATCTTGTATAATAAATATGTAGATAATTCCTAACTGTAGTAGGCTGTCAGGGACATAACATAAAACTTTCAATAAGTTCACATGCCAATATTAATAAAATCTGATTTTAAACATGACCCTGAAATGATAATGTAATTTTACCCTTAGACACATGACATCATTAGATACTTTGTGGACCAACAGATGCAGCAGGCCCACAGACAGCTCACATGCCAGCGTGCAGTCGTCCCTTACGTTTTGGGACACGCGCTACAGTGCAAATCCACAGCAGTGTGTGAAACCATTATGTCGTTACTGGGGCAGTAATTGATTTGCGTACTGGGCAGCACAAAGAATCCATTCAGCAATCAGCACCATGCTAGCTAGCTGGACGAGAGCGACGGCCTCATTATTGGGGTTTAAACCTACATCACGGATGGCATGAAGCAGTGTGTGTGTGTGTGTCTACATGTGTCTGTATCTGTGGTTATAAGCGGGCCCTAGGTCTTAAGATATTGCTAATGTATGTTGGTCAGTAATTTGTCGAGGGTCAGCAAGTTCACTAGAGCGTCTAAACTGAGCTGTACTTTCAGCTAGTATTTGTGTGTTTCTATTATGAAAATAATATTTCTCAAAGCAGCATCATGTGAAAAATGTGATTCTGTGTGAACAGTATGATGTAATATAATTTAATATGTTTATATTGCAAGTTTTAAAATCTAACTATCATCTGGAATGTTCCTTCTGAATAATTTTTTCATAAAAAAAAGGGGAGTGTTGTCATTTAGGTCAGAGCTTATTTCCCCAGGACTGCAACTAACAATTATTTTCATTATTGATTAAACCTGTGATTGTTTTGTTTTGTTTTTTTTTATAAATCAATGAATCGTTCAGTCTATAAAGTGTCAGAAAACAGTAAAAAATGCCCACCACAACCAAAATATTTAACTTACAATCTTAAACTTCAGAACATTTTCTCATTTTAGGGGCAGGACCTAGAAAATAATTGCCATATTTGCTTGGTAAATGACTTAATGGATTACTGATAACTGATAATCAAAAATGTAATTCCTTTCCCTCGATCAACTAAACCAAAAACCAAACAATGCTTCTAAAGAAATTTTGGGAAGTTTTTCTGTAAATGTGCCGAAGCTGTGTGCCGACACTCTACCACTCTTTGTTGTATTGGACTTTAACTGTATGTCATATTGATAATGGAGCCAGTCTTACAGTGTGTGCAGCAGCAGACAGAGGGGTCCTTTGGACTGGGGTCCGACGGTGACTGCGGTTGTCCCACAGGACGATCTGTCCCGAGTAAGTCCCCCCCACCACCAGGTTGGGATGAAACCTGGCAAAGCCCACAGATACTACGGGAGACTGAGGAAGGAGAAAGAGAGAGAAGGGGAGAGGATAAGATAGCAGAATCGCTGCATATTATTCTGGTTCATATTATTTTCTGGGAACATTTCTGGAAAATATATATTATCATGAACCGACCGAACGAGGAACATGATGAGAGACAGAAATCGTTTCACCAGATGAAATGGGGAGACAAGACAGCAGACAGTGAGGAAAGAGCAAAAACCAAGAAAGATATGAAGCAAAAGCAGCAACGCTAGACGGAGCACGAGTGGGAACGAGTGATCAAGGCAGCGTGATGGGTGGCAGACGTGGGGAGATAGACGGAGAGGGAGATGATGAGTTTGGCTACGGTGAGGGTCCGCTGAGGAGAGGAGAGAGGGCTGACGCTGGGACGGAGACCAGACAATGAGGGGAATTGTAGTCCTCTTTCCCCCAGCCGTTTCACATTACAGCATCAAAACCCCAGCAGCCACTAGAGCGCTCACTGTAGCCTCCATCATGACAAGCGCACCCTTGAACTCCCTCTCTCCCCAGTGCTGTGTTTATTGAGTTTTGGTTCCTCTTCAGTGCTCGTCCCATATGGGCTTCTGCGTGCAGCAGCTAGCCTTCCCTGACCCAGAGCCAATGAAGCATCTGTGCTGTGGAGTTATGAGAAAATGTTTCAGCATCGTAGTGCTACAGGAGGGTAAGTGGTGTTACGCATTGACAAATTCATCCCTCCATCCATCCATCTAGTAAACGAGCATTATGTTGGGAGGAGCAATAATTTATAGGCAAGACAGGGCCAAGAGAGCATTGAACAAGAAGCTCACAGACACACATCACAATTAAAAACACTGAAACTATAAAAACATGCAGGGTGCATTTCGCAAAAGCATTGTTGCCCAATACGGTCGTAGATTTTGTTGGAAGAACCGTCATTGACAGTTTTAGTGTTCCTGAAAGCAGTATGTCAGACGTTTTGTTGTTGGAACAACAGCTCTAAGACAGTGTTTGGAAGCAAAGCTCCTCATTAATAATCAGAATCCTCCCAAATGAATCACTGTATTAACAAGGCAATGAGTGTAAGATTTATGTGAATACATTTCCAGCATAGTATGTATTAAAAATGTTGCAAATGATTGGTGACCTTTTAATTGGTGATTCTATTTTTCAACACCAGTGAGACAGAGACAATGGACAGCATAAGCTTAAAGCGATACTATGTAAACACCGGCCACTGTGGCCACAAGCAGTAATTATGGTATAATGGCAAATGCTAAATCGTTAAGTAAAAATAGCACAAGTAAAAAAACTGGTATCTGTTTCTTCCATATTTATATTTTTTTAAATCTTTTTATGTCAACTGTATGTTTATGTCTGTATGTCTACCACCTGATCGCCATATAGTCATTTCTTCTTTCAGAAGTTACATAGTTATACTTTTATACCCTAACAGTCAAACCACAGTTAAGTGAGTGGCTGTATTGAATTTTGCATTTGGAATATCCCAGCCTTTCTTTCACCAGTTTCTTATAATCTGCGTGTTATTTCATGTGATTGAAGAGATATTACTGAATAACAATTATGTATATTACACTAAACGTAAACATACAAATCAATTCTTTGGGACCACTGAAACCTAAATGTGCAGCATCAAACATAGACCATTCACCCACAGTCACATCATTTGTTCTTGTGTACAGTAGATCAATACAATGATCCTGCTGAACTGAGACAACCTACAAGTATTCAATAGTATAACATTTGTCTTGCTTTTAATTTTTTCTCCCCCTCTCCCTCTGCGTCCCCACCACCACACCATGTGCAAAGCAGCCAAATCCAAACCCCAGTTCATTTTGAAAGGAGACTAGAAAACAAACCAGAGGGAAAGAAAACACTGCACACTCTTTCTCTCTTTTTTTGTTTCTTCTGAGGAGTCACGGCCTCCAGACGAATGGCTCGGGAGTCGCTTCAGAAGTCAAGACTCAAAATAAACTGGACTTTGGTGGTAAAAATAAAGTCGCTCGTCAGCTTGAGACACTCTCCGAAAGTTAATCCACACACATAAAAAGGGATCAGGCATTTAAGTTTATTAGTGGGTATTAGCACACAATAATATTTACATTAAAATATGTGCAAGTTACTCTTAAAAGAATATCCAAACCTGAATTTATTTGGACAATTTAACTAAATATTCCTCACCTGGCCTACGTGTACAGAAACAAAAGGTCTATGTGATAATGTAAAGTAATTAAAATAATCAATAAAATAAGGGTTAAGAGAAAGGATTTAAAAGAGGATATTGAGCTTACCAGTCTGATCTCAGGGAGGTTGTTCCAGAAAGTGTGGGCCCTATCGGAAATGGCCTGGTCACCCTTGGTCCACAGCCTGGATTGTGGAATGGCTAGTAGAGCCTTGGCTGAGCACCTCAGGTTTTGACAAGGAACGCATGTTGTCCGAAGATCTGAGATTTAGTTGGATGTGAGATGTTTTGAAGCACGAGTGTTAGCTGTGCCAGGGCCAAAAATAATTAGCACAGTCTTTAGCAGCAGGGAGTTCTGGGACATCCAACATTTGAGGTCAAGGATGCAGTTGTTGAGTGTTTTAATGTGATCACTGGGGTTAAAGTAGAGGTACAGTTGAGAGCCATCTGCGTAGGAATGGAAGCTCATATCTGTCGAGGTCATGCCCCAGGGTTAACATGTAGAATGACAACAAAAGTGGTCCAAGGAGAGACCCCTGAGGTACCTCGCAGGTCATCTTCACAGAGGATGACCGTGAGTTGCCAATGGCTACACTAAAAGATCGCTCTTGTGAGTTGGAATAAAAACACTTTTAAACAGAACTAGGACTGAACCAGAGATCCGTCCCAACCCAGCATTTCAGACGTTCCAATAAAACCGAACGGTCAACAGTATCAAATGCAGCACTTAGATCTAACAGAACTAAAACTGAACATTTTCCAGCATCAACGGCAAATAGCAGATCATTCATCATTTTAAGGAGTGCAGTCTCTGTACTGTGGTTTGCCCTAAATCCAGACTGAAATATCTCAAAGTCTGTTTCTGTTTAAAAAAAGCGATCAATTGTTCAGCAAAACCTTTTTCTAGAACCTTAGAAAGAAAAGGCAGTCTGGAAATAGGAAAATTGAAAATTTATCAATGTAGTTACGCTCTATAAAGTTTTTTTTTTCCAGAAGTGTTGAACAATTGCATTCTTAAAATAAGCAGGGACAGAACCAGTCAATAGTGACATGTTAATTATGGCGACAATATAGGGACTGACAGATCCATTTACTTCTTTTAGAAATCTCCCATGCAGGATGTCGAGAGCACACGAAGAGTGCTTAATTTTATTAATCGCCTCAGTGTCAATAGACATTGTGTCAAAGGACTCAAAGAAGGCAGCAGTTTTAAAAGAAATTGTTGTGTCCTGTGCAGGAGGAGGATGCTCAAGACTTTGCTGACAAAGAAGGTTAAAAATTCTTCACATTTCTGAGGGGTGGAGTCCATACTGTCTGTGGCACGGTTAATAATGCTGAATGAAACCCTGGAGCTGTGTGGTTTTTCTTCAATAAGGTCCTAAAAGTATCATGCTCTGGCATTTGTTTTTATTTCTCATAGAGTCTCTTAAAATGTCACGGTGCACTATTAGAGGCTTTCCACTTCTGCTCTGCCCTACAACAGTCCCTCTTTAGGTATCTTTTTGGCACGTTTGCTGTCAGTTATACATGGGAGAAAGACTTTAGAGGGATTTTTTTCTACTTAAATGGTGCAATTTGGTCCAGGATCTCGGTGCAAGTGTTAAAGTGTATTAAAAGTATTTAGGATTATGTCATGACTTGACTTGAGCAAATGTCAACTGAGGAAGACAGGAGAGCATCTGTTGAATTGGCTACAGAGGAAGTATTAAAAATGCAAGCGCATACAGGGTTTGGCTTATTAGTGGGCAGATTGTTTTGGACCACATATGTGAACACCATGTGAAAGGACAAGATCAAGGGTGTGGCCTTTGATATGAGTAGGTCCCTGTGACAATTCTCAGAAAAACAATTCAAATTGGTTAGAGATGATAAATTCCTGGCAAATAAAAGATTTGTTGGTGAGAAACCTGACAATGTTTTTTGTAAAAATAAAAAAAAATCAGTTGAGACATGAGTATTAGAAACACAAGTATTAAAAGCATAGACAGCATGAAACCTGCCATTACAAAAAACAGGTATATAAAAATCAGGTGCTTTTAAAAGCTCACTAGGTTGGGAGGGGCCATGCTGAGATGCAGGTCCATTGGTGTTAATAATAGATTCAATAGGCCTAAAGCTGGATAGGCCAAGAGCCCTTTAAGTTTCCAGCGGAACCAAAACTGAAAGCACTTGGCCACTGAGGATGTCAAAAGACTATAGCACTCATACTCAAACACACATAAATGGGTCTGTCTCCAACTTGAACACTTTTAATATCCTAGAGTTTTGGGATGACCTTTACACTCTGTGGTTGTCTGCTGTTTGAACTTTGTTCCCCCTCCATCAGCCTCCATCAGTGGGCTAATAAACCCACACATACATACACACACACACACACACACACACACACGAACACACACACACATATCCTAAATAGGTATACACATACACACACACATGGTTCCACCACAAACATTTATCAGTCTTCAAAAAGAAGGGAAACAAAGCTATGTTAAACCTCTGGAAGAGACAGAAAATCAGAGTGAAGGAAGCATTAACAGTTTCTAACAGCTAAATGTTTATTGATTCTGACTACTTCTTCTTTAAAAGTATAGTTTGACATTTTGGGAAATTGGTTATTGGGAACTTACTTGCTTTCTTGCTGAGTTATATGAGAGGATCAATACCACTCTCACATGTGTCCATTAAATAAAAGGCTACTGTCAACAGCTTAGCTTAGCATAAAGAATGGAAACGGGGGAAACAGCTAACCTGCTCTGTCCGAAGGTAACAAAATTTGCCAACCAGAACCTCTAATACATGTTAGATCTTGTTTGTTAAAACAAAGCCT